ACCGCGCCGCTTGCCACCAATGCCCTGCCCTGGTGTCCTGCCGTGCTCTGTTCAGAGTGACCCAGGAGCAGGAGCAGCACATGGTGGCAATGTCCCTTATGAGCCATAGTTCCTGTGCCCCTTGAGCTGGTGCACTTCACACCCAGGTGCCTGCCTCCAACTGGTGAGGTTTTAACCTCAGTCCCTCCCCTTGCCTTGCCTGGGGCACCTCATGGGCCGTTGTGCAGCGCTGTGGTTTCAGGGTGCTGTCTTGGCTTGTCCTTTGATGGGCAAAGGAGACCCCAAAGAGCAGCTCCATCGCTGCCGCTGGGGAGCGCCTTCAAGGTGATCTGCCCCCCTGCCCTGTGATGCCCTTCCCCTTAGCTTGCCAGGAGCCCTGCCAGGCTGCCGCAGCCCCAGTATCATCCTCCTCTCCCTCTGCCCCGACAAGCCAGGGGCAGGGGGGTTGGGAACCTCTTAGGGCAGTGGTGCCAGACCCATTGAGCTGGGGGCGAACCTCTCCTGCTTGTCGCGTTCAGTCACACTCTTGGCAGCCGCACCGCTTTCCTCCCCTTCTGCAGCCTGTGCCTGGCAGCTCCCTTCCCCTGCTTGCTCTGCAGGTCACCTTGTCTTGAGCACCAGAGATAACGGCTGCCTCTCCCTGGGCTCCCTAGAGACTGCTGGAGCTTGATTTGCGTGAGGAATAGCTGAAATGGCAGCTGTGGGAGCCTGCCCAGGGAGCTGCGATCAGCTGCCGGCTCTCTGATGGCTCTGCTCAGGCTAGGAGGAGGTGCCTGAGGAAGAGAGAGGTGGGAGAGGCTGGTCTGGGCTTACCTGGAAGCACGTGCTGCCTCCCAGCCTGTCCCATGTGAGACCTCCCAATCCTCCTGGGGTTCTCTTTTCCCTGTAGCTACCCAAACCCCTCTGTGACAGCAGCTACAGTCTCTCTGCAGCGTTCCCATGCAGGGTGTCCTTGTCTGTATTACCCCAAATCCTACAGCCCTTTATGCTTGGTCGAGCTTGTGAGTACAGTCAGACATAAAGAATTTTATCTCATTAAGAAGAATTCCTCTGCTTTAAGCTTGTTGGGTGGCAAACAGCCATCAGACCTGTGCTGGTAAAGTTTTCTCCAGGCACATCAGCAGGTTTTGGAATTAATGTGCTGGAGTGAGCAGGTTCCTGGGAAACGGGGAGATGGTGCCCTCTGACTTCTATCATCACAGCCATGGAGGAGACAGATCTTCTTTTGGACTGGAATTAGGGGAAAGCCATTCTGATCTTGAAACTCAACTCCTGGAGCTTGTAGCCTGTTAGTGAGCACCCCAGAGAGACATGGAGCCCAGGCTGCTGATGATTAATCTCTTCCCTCCTCCTGCCAGTGACCTGCTCTCCCCAGACTCCCTCCTCAACTGCCTCTATCCAGGAGACCATGGGAGGAAAACGCCCAACCCAGCCAACCAATTCCAGTTCGATAAAGTGGGGTGAGTGGGGCACAGACAGTTGGCGTGGCCGGGAAGACGGGGTCCTGCCAGTCGGCATTGGGTGGGCTCATGGGGCACGGCTTGGGGCACAGGCCAGGCGGCAGGGGGACAGGGAGGACAGGAGTGCTTTGGGGTGGCATAACCCTTCCTCATTGTCCCCACAGCATCCTGACCTTGAGCGACTACGTGACAGAGCTGGGGCACCCCTATGTGTGGGTGCAGAAGCTGGGCGGGCTGCATTTCCCCAAGGATCAGCCTCAGGCATGTCATACCCCCTCCCCTCTCCATGAACATGCCAAGCTGGGTTTTGGGGAGGTTTGGGGGACAGTTGTGTCATGTCCTGTCCCCTCAGACCCCAGAGCTCCTGCTGACACCAGCCACTCCCAAACTATGCTGCACCCTTGGCTGGGCCAGGCTCAGTTAGGATCAATCTGTGTGATGGGGCCACACCAACATCATTTACCCACCGTGTGTGATAGTCTAAGCCCTGTTACGGACACTGAGCAGTGACTTGAGCATGTGTCTATCCCTGTGGCTGGGTGGGGTGGCTCCTGGACCATGGGGTGCTCACAGGCTGGTGTGATGGTGACAGCCCCTCCTACCCACAGCACACGGTCGCTGCGGACAACTCGCTGAGTGCCAGCCACATGGAGCTGACTGTGAAGCTGCTGCGGACGAGGCTGCAGTCCCGCCTGGCTCTCCACAAGCAGTTTGCATCACTTGGTGAGTGCCTGGCTCCCCACCCCATGCCTGGGGATGGCAGGGGTGCAGTAGCAGGGTCCTCATGCAGAGGAGAGCTGACTGATGTCACTTCTAATGGTGCTGCAGATCTGTAGTGCCACCCAGTCGTTCCCTCTGTAGTAGCGGCCCTGCAAGGGCTGCCCTGATTTGGGTGGGAGAGGAAGTCTGTGTCCCCTCTCGATGCCCAGCACCCCTTTGGGACCGGCCATGCGTGTGCTGGGAATCAACTCAGGCCGTGGTGGGAGATGAAGCACACCCCCACATGTGCTGTGTGCCCGTCGAGCAGGCCATGTCTGCGCTGCCAAGGCTGTGAGCTCTGGTGGGATGGCAGCCGAGGCCTCCCCTGCTCCCCTCTGGGCACCTGATTAAGGTGTCAGAAAGGATGACGATGTCCCCACATCCCGGTTTTGGAGCATCCCCACCCACAGGACAGTGACAGAGCTCTGTCCCCAGCCCTCCCCTGCTCAGGTGGCCTTGTCCTTGGTTTCAGAGCATGGCGTGGTGCCAGTCTCCAGCGAGTGCCAGCATCTCTTCCCCACCAAGATCGTCTCACGCCTGGTGAAGTGGGCTGCCATTCCCTATGAAGATTACGCGGTAGGTGCCGAGCACAATGCTGTATCCCCCCAGCACGCGCGCAGCACTGGCAGCGGCTCACTCCTCTTGCCTCCCCTCGCAGGAGCTGCCCTACACAAAAGATGTGATAGAAGCCAGCTTGGCTGAAGACACTCACCTCTACTACATGGCTCTGATTGAAAGGGGAACAGGTAGGTGTGTTTTCTTCCCCTGGCAATTTTGAATTTCCACATCGGGTGTCCCCAGAGCAGCTTCTGGGGGGTCTTCATGGGACCTTTTGGAGGTCCTTGGGATTGTGGGTGACATTTCTCCCCTGCCCTGCTCAGCCAAGCTGCAGGCAGCTGTAGTCCTGAACCCTGGTTATTCCACGCTGCCGCCTGTCTTCAGCCTGTGCCTGAACTGGAAAGGAGAGCGAACCAGCAGCAATGACGACAACATTCGGGTAAGCTGGGGTGGTGGGAGAGGAGGCTGGAGAACCGCTGACTTTTAGGTGGCTGTTCCCTGTGGTTCTGTGTCCATAGTGAGTGAGTTGTTGGGGTGAACTGGTGGGCAGGGCCCTGAGATCTGCCGGGTGCAGCCATGGGCTCTGGGAGGGCTGAGCAGAGACCCAAGCCTGCTCCATACTGATCCCTCTGCCAGGCCATGGAGAGCGAGGTCAACGTGAACTACAAGGAGCTGTGGGGGCCCAAACCGGGCTACCAGCTCCTCACCAACCAGCTGCAGCGCCTGTGCATGGTGCTGGATGTCTACTTGGAGACGGAGCCCCACGACACCAGCGTGGAGGGGCCCAAGGAGTTTCCCCAGGAGAAGATGTGTCTGCGCCTGGTCAGGTGAGAGCCTGGCACCCTGGGGCAGGGAGGAGCTGGGGTGGGGGACAGGGGTGCTGGCAGGGACGCTGGTGGCACCTGGTGCCCACCCTCCAGCCTCTCCTTTAGCTCTCAGGGGGGATCTGCCCCCTGCAGCTGGGCAGTGCCCTGGGACCAGGCCTGTTCTGTCGGTGCTGGGGGCTTCCTGACCCCCATGGGTCAACGTCTCCCTCTTCTCCTCTTCCAGGGGCCCCATGCGCCTGAAACCCTTCAAGTTCAACTACCCCCAGGGGTTCTTCAGCCATCGCTGAGCACTGCCTAGGCATCACTCTGGGCTGGGCCTCATCCTGTCTGTGGGGAGGAGCACCCCCATCACACCCTTTCAATTTATTTTTTAAGGTTTTGGGTTTTGGTTGAAGGTTTTGTAGCCAAAGGGATTAAATGCTGAACTGAAAGAAAAGACTGTGTGTGCCATGTCTGGGCAGAGGGCTGGAATGGGGGGGCCCCGGGAGGGCTGCAGCAAGCCCTGTCTCTGGACTCTGGCTGGCATCTTGCTGCTGGACATCCCCTTGCCTGGAGTGCTGCCTGTCTCCTGTGCTCCCTCCCCACCTCAGGGCCTCGGGACTGAAGAACAGAGATGGCTAAAAATAGCCCTTTTCCGGAGCCTGCACTGCAGCCCCAGCCTGTCCTTGCCTGCGCTGGCTGCCAGCCAGCTGACTTGGCACAAACCCTGCAACAAGGAAGGGGGCTTTGCTGCTTCCCTGGCTTGTGATGGGGGGAGCTGAGCAGTGTCCTATGAGAGGCAGGACCTCCCAGCACCCTGCGATGGGTTCGGGCTTGGGCTGGCAGTCCCAGCATGCCAGCTCACCCCTCTCCAGCACCTCACATCTCCCCACTGTGGGTCCTATCCCACAAGCCAGGTTCCATTTCCGCTCCCAAGATCCTTGTCGCTCTTGGCCCCCAGCTTCCCTCCATCTCCTCTGTGGGTGATTTCCCCACCAGGAACACTGATAGGCCCTCTCCCCTTTCCTGTGCAGCCCCTGCTGTTGGCGCAGTGCAGGGCTGTGCTGCAGTGCCTGGGTTAAACCAGGCTCTACCAGCCCCGCTGGGAGCTGGGCTTTAAAACATAAAGAAGGAATAAAACGTGCTGAAATCCTGTGTGGAGGGGGTGGGGGGGACGGCTGGCCCTCTTTCCAGCCCCTGTGAGGGAGCCCAGGTCCTTTGTGCCTGCCGGGGGGGAGGCTTTCCCTGTGCAAGGGCTGAGCTTTCCCTGCTGGAAGGCAGCCAGGGTGCTGGAGAGCCCCATGTCACCCCCAGAGCCCTGGGTGACAGATCCCAGGCCCCCAGGCCAGGCTTTCCCACCCTCCCTTCCTTACCTGCCCCTACCCCCACCCCTGGACAGGAGGCCAGAAGAGCCAGGTCTCTGTAAGCACTTTTATTTGGTTATTGCACAGAAAGCAAATAAGAGTGGGTTGAGGTTCCTAGTGCACTGTGTGTCTGTGAGCATTCTGGCAGCACCCAGCCTCTCCCACTGAAGGCAGCTGCAGCCTGGGTCACCGCTCGGAGGGACAGTTGTCACCCCCAGGCCGGGGGAGGACCCCACCAGCCCCCTCCCAAGCAGCTAGAGCTCTGCATTGCACTCATCCATCAATTGCACATAACATTAAATAAATGCACTTATTGGAGAAGGGCAGTCGGTTCCCCTGGGGTCTCTTCTCCTCGGTTATAATTCAAGTGTTTAAATGTGGCGCTCGGCGAATATCACATTCTGCTAGGGAAGCTATCGGCCAAACCGCCGGGGCAGGGCAGCAGGGGGCTGCATCTCTCACACGGACATATTGCTAAGGGAAAGCCCGGCCTGGCGGGGCGTCCCCACCCCGGGCTCAGCCATCGGAGGGGAGCGGAGCAGTTCCCACACCCAGAGGTGCTCTTTGGCGCCTGGGGCTCTGCTCACTTCTTCCCCGTGGCGGGTGCCGGTTCTGTGGCTTTGCCTTCCTTGCTGGCGGGGGCCTCGGCCTTGGGGGGCTCTTTACTGGCTTTGGGCTCATCTTTGGGTTTTGCTTTAGCTTTGGGCTCCTCCACCTTCTCCTTCTTGGGCTCCTCAGCCTTTGGCTTTGCAACAGCCTCCTGCTGAGGTTTTGGCGGAGCCTCCTTCTCAGCCCTTCCTTCTGCAGGTTTGGGGCCTGGCTTGGTGGTCTCCTTCACCTGTGGGGCCGGAGGCTCTGGCACAGCAGCCGCCTTCTCTTCGGGCTTCTCCTCCCCCTTGGCCGGGACATCCTTCTTGGGAGCCTCCTCTTTCCTGCCCTCCTCAGCTCCGGGCTTGGAGGGAGCCTTCACCTCCTTGGGCTGCTCTTCCTTTGCAGGGGCTTTCAGCTCCTTCGGAGGGGAGGGGGTGGGCTCCTTGGCTGGGGCCACTTCTTTCTGCGGAGACTTGGCCTCCTCCTTCACAGGAGATTTGACTTTCTCAGGGGACTTCACAGCTGGGGTTTTGGCCTCCTCCTTTGAGGGGGTTGGTGGCTTCTCTGGGGACTTCACAGCTGGCATCTTGGCCTCCTCTTTAGAGGGGGTTGGGGGTTTTTCTGGGGATTTGACAGATGGAGTTTTGGCTTCCTCTTTTGAGGGAGTTGCAGGTTTCTCTGGGGACTTCACAGACGGGGTCTTGGCCTCTTCTTTCAAGGGGGTTGAGGGTTTCTCTGGGGACTTGACAGCCAGGGTCTTGGCCCCCTCTTTTGAGGGGGGTGCGGGTTTCTCTGGGGACTTCACAGCTGGGGTCTTGGCCTCATCCTTTGAGGGCATCAGGGGCTTTTCAGGGGATTTGACAGCTGGAGTCTTGGCCTCCTCCTTTGAGGGGGTTGCAGGTTTCTCTGGAGACTTCACAGCTGGGCTCTTGGCTCCTTCCTTTGAGGGGGTTGGCAGTTTCTCTGGAGACTTCACAGCTGGGCTCTTAGCCCCCTCCTTTGAGGGTGTTGGGGGTTTCTCTGGAGACTTCACAGCTGGGCTCTTGGCTCCCTCCTTTGAGGGGGTTGGGGGTTTCTCTGGAGACTTCATGGCTGGGCTCTTGGCCTCCTCTTTTGAGGGGGTCACAGGTTTCTCTGGTGACTTCACTGTTGGACTTTTGGCTTCATCCTTTGAGGGGGCTGGTGGTTTTTCAGGGGACTTGACAGTTGGGCTCTTGGCCTCCTCCTTTGAGGGGGTTGGTGGTTTTTCAGGGGACTTGACAGTTGGGCTCTTGGCCTCCTCCTTTGAGGGGGTTGCAGGTTTTGCTGGGGACTTGACCTCTTTTTCAGGAGACTTGGCCTCCTCTTCACCCTCTGCTTCAGCCTTCTCCTCTTCTTCCTCCTCTTCAGCTTCTTTCTCAGCTGCCTCCTCCTCCTCTGTGACCTCCTCGGTCACCTGGATTTCCTCTGTCTGCTCCTCCACAATCACCGTTTCCTTCTCAGATTTTTCCACCACCTTGATCTTCTCCTCACTCTTCACCTTGATGTCGGTGGTGATGCTGGGAGCCTTAGGGACCACCTCGGGGAAGGAGAGCATCCCATAGCCAGACTCAATCCGATATTCCTCTCCTTCCAAGAGCTTTCTGCCAGAAAGAGAACAGAGTAGGGCAGTCAGTGACTGCTTCTCACCTGCTCCCATGACCAGTCGTGCCATGTAGTTCCATCTCCCTCCTTGTCCCATTTTTGATGTGCTGGCTGACCCTCCTGCTCTACACCCTGTTTCCTTGCCCTTCCTTCCCCAGACCATGTGCAGGGCTGGGCCACCTAGATGGATGTTGCCCACCATGGTCTTGGAGGATGGGTGGTCTCTTTCTCAACAAGAAGGGCCCAGGTGGTAGTGAGGGCCCTTGAGGAATGTCCCCAGAGACACCAGCACTAGGGACTCACTGGCTCACTGGGACCCTCCCACCTTCCCCTCACCCTCCCCTTACCGATAGGCAGCAATTTCAATGTCCAGGGCCATTTTGACATTGAGCAGATCCTGGTACTCCCGGAGCTGAGCTGCCATCTCCCATTTGGTGTTCCTCAGCTCACTGTCAAGCTGCTGGATGGTTTCCTGCAGGCAGACAGAGCAACTGGTGACATGGGGGACCAGTCCTCAGGAGCAGAGGGACACAGAACACCCCTAAACTTTCCTCTCTTCTCCAAGGAGGGACTGCTCACCCAGCACCAGGGTGCTGCCACCACGGGGTCCACAGCCACCTCCCCCTGCAGACACAGAGGGAAGGGGACATGTCTAGGGGCTGTTTCAGTGTGTCCAGTTACCTTGGGAGAATGGGCAGCAGCCCTGCACCCCCTCAGGCAAGAGCTGTCAGCTCCAGCCCTCTCCCAGAGCTCCCTCCAGCAGGAACAAGCTGTGGGAACCTTTCTAAGATGGGTGAGTCTGGTGGCCACCCAACCCCAGGCTGAGGCTGATGGGGATGGAGCATCACCCTGGGGACAGGGTTTCAGGCCACAGCCCCCACACGGTGCAGCCCTCTATGTGGCACTTCCCTGCTCTGGGAAGTAAGACATAGCCTGAACCCTGGGCACGGTTCAGTGGTGTTTGTGACCACCATCATGGGCAGCTTGAAGCCCAACAGAGACATGGGGCAGCTCCATCATGGCTGAGGGACACAACAGCCCAGATGCAACCTCATGCTCTGAGTACCTGATCCCCAGGAGCTGGGGAAGGCTGATTCTGGACACAACCCAGTGTGTTTGCCCCAGGTCATCATCTCTGCAGCCAAAGCACCAGGGCTGCTCCTCCCCCACAGCTGGATGGTCCCTCCCAACCAGATGATGTCTGGGCCGCTGCCCAGTGCGCCACATTACCTGGTAGGACAGGACATCTGCATGATGGCGCTCCTCTGAGTCCTGTCGCTGCCTCTCCAGTGACTCCTGGGTCCCTTTGAGGGCTTCAAGCTCGGTGGTTTTGGACTGGAGCTGGCGGCGGTACTCACAGATCTCCTCCTGGGCCAAGCGGATGGCGTCCGTGTTCACCTTGGCAACCTCCGAGAGCTTGTCCAGCCTCACTGCAATGAGGAAAAGGAGAAGCTGCAGGGAGGGAGGGAGGGAGGCTGCGGTCTCCCCTGCTTGGGGAACCTCAAATCATTTAATACTGCACGGCCCCTGCCTGCGTGTCCTCTGCAGAGCCAGACCCTTGGGGGCTCCCTGGGTGCTCTGGCTTCACCAGCCCCTGCTCTGTCGGGGCTCACGCTGTGCTGGGGAGGTGAAGGAGAACGGGCAGGACGGGCTGGGGAGGATGTTTTCTCCATCCTGGACTTTACCCAAGGCAAACCCACGCTGCAAACCGCCCCCTCCTCCCTTCAGCTCCTGCCACAACCCCAGGACGGAAAGCTCTGCGGGCTCACCCTGCGCACGCTGCCTTGCCAAACCCGGCTCTGCCGCCCTGGGGCCGGGCAGGGGCTTTGCCGCAGCCACCCCGGGGGCCGGGGGGGTGGGAGACAGACAGACAGACCGACCCCGCTGCTCCCACCACCCTCAGGGCAGCCTCCGCCCCGCCGGACAATGCACCCATGGGTGCTGAGCCTCCGCTGTCCGTGGTGCTGACCTAACGCTGTCCGTGGTGCTGAGCCCAGCGCGCCGATCCCCACCCTCCTGCACCGATCCCGTAGTGCCCCACCCAACAGCGCGGCAGGGACACTCCCTGCCCGACCCCCCCGCGTCAGGGATGCGGCAGCCCCCCC